GGCGAGTTGGACTTCCGAGAGTTCATCGCAGCTTGGACGGACACCCACATTCGTCGAACTGCCTCGAACTGTGCGTCTGTTCTGAGGCTGCCTTTCGCTGCAACCCACGCTTTGTGAGGAAGGTCGCACTTGCAGCAGACACCACTGTCGAAGATCTCAGTGGCCTTGCCAACGAGGAGCTTTTCGTAGCAGTGTAGCACACGTGCCCAATCCTAGCCCATTCAGCCAGGACCTGGAGCAGTTCTTCGCTGTCTTAGACACGGTGGCTGGACCAGCAACACAGCGTAGCGCCATGGAAGTCAGTTATGAAGCATCACGCAGGACATGCAGGTAGATTAGCGCACATATTGGTATCTTATTACACCAAGAGAATCATGTAATTTTTTCGTGTTGATATGCAGAGGAATCAGTTACGATAGCACTGGAATTTGCTGATGTTCCTGCAGATCTTCCCAGGACCGCTCCGGCACCATCTCTTTTGACGAGTTTGTTAACGGCTTGCTTGATATCCGCTTAAAGCGGCATGCCTACGCCAGGGAGCAGGCCTGGGAAACAAGCGTCTCTCTGACATCGTAAAAGGGGAGATCCATGGCACTGAGGCAGAAGCCGAGAACCAGGCAGTTATCGATGTGGCCTATTTGGATACTTGACTTGAGTTGGCAGACCAAGTTTTGTGCCGAGCTGTTTCGCTCGGTGCGAGCCCCCTGCGTGACTCCTTCTTCCAAGGATGCTCTGGATGCTTTCAGCCAGGCAGGCAGTCGCAGCAGGATAAGCATTAATTACTCAGTATCAGTATCAGCCTGGGCAGCACCAACAGCAGCAGGCCGCAGCAGCAGCAGCCGCAGCAGCAGCAGCAGCAGTATCTGTAGTCGTAGTAGTAGTAGTAGTAGTAGTAGTAGTAGTAGTAAAGGAAGAGGAGGACTAGGAGCAGCAGCAAGTTAGAAGTTTCGACAAGGACCTGCACTGATTTGTTGGATGTTGATCTGGTTCTTCTCCAAGGACAAGACTCACTCCCAAATCTAATTAGACAAGCTTAAACGTGTCGTTCGCGAGGCAGATCTTGGAGTGACAGGCCCGGGCTTGCTGCAAACAGTGCCGGGAGTCCCTCTGACGGTCTGTATGATGCAGTTACGCACAGAAATCGACAGACACATGTTGGATATAAGAAATAGGTATAAGCAGATCGTGTAGTATGCACACATGGAAGGTCGTTTTTATGTACAAAAACTATATATGTATGTATATATATATATACACATAGACATCGAGTCATATGTGTATATGAGTGCAGACACACATGCACACACGCACACGCCCCCACCGCCCCCACCCCCCAACACCCACCCACGCACACGCACGCAGCACGCGCGCACACACACACACACGTGTATGTATGTATGTATGTATGTATGTATGTATGTACGTAGGTATGTATGTATGTAGGTACATAAATGTATATATATATATATACACATACATACACATATGTCCATATATACATGCGCACACGCATAAGCACCTGCACCCACCAACCCACCCACCCACCCACCCGCCCGCCCGCCCGCCCGCCCGCCCGCCCGCGCGCACGCAGGCAGGCAGGCAGGCAGGCAGGCAGGCACGCACGCACGCACGCACGCAGTATTTGTGGGTGTAGATATCTATGTGTGAACCCGCAATTTCAATCATGTCGCCCTCGGCAGGAGAGCTGGACCTTGACAGCTTCCACAAAGCCCTCCAGCAGCCTGCGATTTCGGAGCGCCTCGTCTAAAGCACTTGGATATGTTCTAATCGAGGTTGCAGGAGGGAAGGGCGGCAACAGTCTGGCCGGCTGCCTGTCAGGGAGTCATATCTGTTGTTGCTTTTGCCCCTGTAATCTTCAGGAAGGTTGCAGTGGCAAGCCAGCTGCCGCCGGAATTCTTCACCAAGCTTTCGAAGCAAGACATCCGGGCGGCCTGGACGCAGAGTTTCAGGCTTGTTCCGTGCCTTGCATTACGAGCGCGAGTTATCGAGGACATGTTCGCCCGCATGGACACTGATTGCTCCGGTGGCATATCCTTCAACGAGTGGGTGGCAGCGATTGCAGCATGCCGAGAAGAAGAAAGACTACACAAGCGCATGATGGTGCATTTTACACGTCTGTCCAGATGCATGCATGGATGTCTGTGCGCCTGTATGTACAATAATGAGTGGTACGGCTTGTATTGCATTGTGTCCTGTGCTGTCCGACGCTGTGCTGATCTTTGTTGTGCTCGGCTGTGATCACTGAACTGTACTGTATTGGCATGTACTGTAATGTACTGTACTGTACGGTACGGTAAGGTACGGTAATGTCATGTATTGTATTGTAATGTAATGTAATGTAATGTAATGTAATGTAATGTAATGTAATGTAATGTAATGATGTATGCACGATTGCAACCGTGTATCGGCTTTTTGCATGTATAATAGAAATGCCGAGCTTCTATGATGGACCTTGTTTGTGTGTGTGTGTGTTTGCAGATGCGAGTCTTTTTGCATGTTTGTAGAACTTCGGCTTGGCACCTGATGTGCTGTTTCGACAATGCTAGTTGAGGTAAACACCCGCCAGGCCCTTCGGAATGCAACTGGCCTTGCTCGCTATGCTTTGACAAGACATGATGAGCAGTTTCCTGTTAGGAAGTTTATATGGCGGAGAAGCTGGAGCAGGAGACCGCAATTGCAGCAGTGCCGAGCTTACCAATGGCACTGGCTCCATCCAACTAGCATATGTACCGTTTCAGTTTGCTGGAAGAGGCGGTTGCCTCGCGAGCTCCGAAGACATGCACGGCTTTGCGGTTGTTTCCGAGTCTCCATTGCAGGTGATGGGCGATGCAGCGGCTGCCATGGATGAGGTGCTCGAGGAAAAGCCGCTTTCGCATAGATGATGTCGCTTCTGCATGCCTGCAGTCCGTGACAGTCTGCCCATGACAGGACTGGACAGGGGAGTTCGAGCTCCAGAGGCTTTGGACTTTTGGCACAAGCGCTTGAAAGTATCGTGGATTGCGTGGTCTGACAGGTTTATCTCTGCGTTCCAGACCAACAGCGCTTTTTTGCAGAAAGTCTCCCATGCAACAGGCCCGTTGCAGGGATTGCAGGGACAACTGGGACGGCGCCTCTTTTCTGAGACTCTTTTCGATGAGCCTCACCAAACACATACTTATGTCAATGTGGGCTGCGAGGCTTGCCTGTCGAAGAATACCAGCGACTGCAGGCAGCGGCTTTTGCGAATCTAATGCCCCATGAACTTGAGCCCCATTGTGAACCTTGGAAGCGAGGCTAGTGATCTCAAAGATCTCTTCGATGCTTTGGACATGGACTTCTCCGGGACTGTGCCTGTGATGCAGAAAGCGGCTATCGATCGTGCAAAGGTAACACAGAATCTTCCAGCATGCAAGATCATCGCCGGAGGTTTCCTTCAGCGAGTTCGTAGAAGGCACGCCACCTGTGTGCAAGGGTAAAGGGGGGACTTTCATTGCATCCTCAGCTGGCACAGCGCCCGCTGCGCATCCGGCATGTGCGACGGGCCCCCTGAAGTGGCAGGACTGGCGGCCATCCGAAGGGCTCACGAGGCCGGGTGATGCCGGGTGGGCGGGGTCGCTAAAGCCCGGGAGCTCCCAGGCTGCGATTCTGGAAGAGGTGCCCAGCCCTACAGCGTCTCGCAAGGTAGTCAAGGACCGGAGATGTCGCGCTTCGGTGCTTCTAGGAAGGGAAACTGAGAGCTGCCAGGATGCCATGGTCCAGGGTGCCCCGGAAGGGATGGAGAGCATTACGCCCAGTGGCCTGAGGCAGCTGCTTGGCAGCGGAGCAATCTGCTACTCGTACAGTAGTTCTTGGTGCCAAAGGGAAAGGACTCAGGTGCAGGAACCAGAGGTAAGAGGCCCCGTTGCAGCAACGACAGTTGAAAAGGTGTCCGTATCTCGGAACGGGTACATTCAAGCGAGCTCACAGCTCTAGCGCGCATGTACAAGGTGTTGCCATCAATCATCGAGACATTTGCATCTTCTGTTTGATCACCCGTTCTCAAAGGTTGATGTGTCTTCTAGATGCTGACCGGTGGACTCCTGCCAAGCTCGACAAGCTCATTGCGGGCCTGCCGTGGACGAGCGGAACGCTTCCGCTCAGTGTTTTCGAAGCAATCAACATGACTGTGTCAGTGTCGCGTACGCAATGGGTTCGTGCCTGCTTTCTGGAGACACCGAGGCAAACTGGTGGACTTGCTGTGCCTAGCCCGCAATGGCTGGGCCTCTGCTACAGCAGACAGATAGCAGACACCCGTACTGTGCTTGTAGGAGTCCTCTTCTTCAGATCTGCGCCTGGCCTTCGGCTCTCCGAGCTTAAATTAAAGGAAGATCTCAAAGAACCTGCAAAAAATCAACCGAAGTGCAGTGAAAACGGGACCCTTTCATTGTACCGTGGCATTGGCCGTGCACGAGTTGGAACGGGTCGCAGTCACATTCAGTCAAGTGCAGGAGGACGCGCTGGGGAATGCAAGATGTTCCGCAAACTGCGAGCGGTGATTCAATGTGGTTTCTGATTCTTCGCATGTTCAGTCTCCCAACCTGATGGACTTCGCGTGCGCTGTGTACCCAAATCACATCAAACTCAAAGACATGGCAGTAGCGGCCTTTCCCGGACCCGACCACGGATTGGGGATGTAGCAACAAAACAAGGAAGCATGGCAAGACTCAAGCATATGTGGAACGGCTGCAATCTTCACGTGACCGGCCATTAACATCCTGATCTTGAGGTACTGATGCGATTGATGCGGCCGTCCAGTGACGCCGTGTTGCAGAATGTAGCATCCTGTCCACCCTAGCAGAGCACAGTGCTGTGCCGAATGACATTTTTTTTATCGGAGTCTAGTGCAAGATAAGGCTGAGTAACTCATATGTAGAGGAGGTCGAAATCTTTACATAGGTTATGCCAGATGCTCATGCCGTAGGCATGCGCCTCTGATAGCAGCCAATCTGGCCGTATGCGCAATGCATCCGGCCGGGGGCACGTCTGCCGAAGGCGACTGCTTCAGGCTGGAGGATGTTGAAGTGGCGTACTTCCGTCGAAGAATTGTTACTTGATGTCGTTGCATGCATGTAGCCACGGCCGGATGTTTGCCGTGGAAAGTTAGAAGCCTGGAATACATGAGGTGTACAAGAGAGCCGACACGCTGGGCGCTGGCGAGTCGTTGGCCGAGAGCGCATTTAAACTACTGAGTACCTACTGATATTTGTTCACTATTCCGACAGGGATCCCAAGCTGGTCCGATCTGAAATCAAGTCTGAGTCTGAGTTCGATTGAGGCCGTACACGTATGGTTTACCGCCAGACTATGCTCCATCCTCAGCTCACTGTAGCCTACTGTCATTCTCTGAATGCACCAGACCACCTTGAAACGTGGAGCTCAGGTGCGAATTGCGATGGCCGTGGCGGTAATGGCGTTTGCTGCGCAGATGGCAGTCCTGGCTGACTTGGCTCCCCGAGATTTCCATACATGAGTCAAAGGAAAACGCTGGAACCGCGCAGGTTTCGTATACAGGCCGCGAATGGGCCATTCACAAGCAGGCCTGGTCTGGTACCTTCCAGAGCAAGCCGCTGTGCCTTTCGTTGAGCCAGGCAGGCCGTCCGATACGGAGGGCCTCCATCTCGGCTTCAGCGTAGTGTAGCGAGTTCAAAACTACAGTAGCTCTCAATTCAGGTTCCATCCTTCTGGAACAACATCTTCAATGTTGCCATGTGGCCGGCTGAGTGTCCTTTGCAGGAATCGTGTGATCTCAGCATTCAGCTGAGGCTGTGCATGTACTTGGCAGTGACAGTTGTCATCGCGGGCCTTATCCAGATGCCGCATGCCCAAGTGTGCCTCAGTCCTGCATGCTTCCGCTGCAGAGACTGTCGAGGCAGCAGCCCTCACAGCTGCAGGACCTCTACGGTGCCCCACCTTCGCTTCTCTTTAGACTCATGCTAATCTGTAGCAGCCAGGTTCCCTGCCGCTTTCGTCTGGCATCTTCTGCTCCAACTCCCTACTCGTCTTATATTTTGCGGTGTGAACCCGACATGCTTGCGATGAGGATGCTGTCGCCTGCTTTGCCAACTATCAGCCCGTTCTCTGCCAGGTATGCTGGCCTCCAGATTGTGAGAACCTGAGCTGCGTGACTGTCGCTCTGTGTGTACTGTATCCGTGTCCGTGTGTACGTGCACAAAGCTACGTGAGCAGCATTCCAATTTTGTGCAGCAGTTGAAAGGAAAACAAGCCTTTTGGGTTACTCTTCGGTTAACGACCTCAATGACTCAACTCGACAGCATGGAGTGATCCGCCCTTGTAAGCTGGTCTCTCTACCTCAGCCCCCCTCTTTTTTGGGCAGTTGGGAGAATCATGTCTGAGACCATCTAGATGATAACTCGCTGGATGCGACATCGAAATGCATGTGCGAGCATTGCCCGAAGACTGGCGATGTGAAATGACGAGCCAAGACAACAGATTTGATGACACAAGTAGCTCGAAGATCCGACGCGCCGAGTCGGCCGAATAAGCCTTTCTCGAAGCGAAGCTGAATTTCTTGTCACCTCATGCCAATCTTCGGTGATCTTTGGTGAGTAGGGAAACACATTGTTGGCAGCTCTCTGTTTGCTGTCTCAACGGCGAGGGGTGCTGTTCTTGGGTTCGGGGCTCCATCAGATTCAAGCCCTCCGGAATCAACAGACACGCGTCGATGCAGATCGATAACTGCCACATGCTGCTGTTCGGTCGGGAGCACAAGGCATCTCGATTCCTTGCAGCACTCCCTACCATTCTCGCTCAGCTGCCGTCGATGCATTTTGACTCCGTAGACGAACTATTGTGATGAATTCAGTGCAATGTCTGTTTGCGATCGGCACCTGCCATGCTACATGTCGTTGCCACAAGGCCAAGACTATGGATGTGGACTTCCGAGAAAGAGGCAGGGCATATTCAGCTAGTTTTGGAGGGAGTTGTCGGAGTCGTGTTGCATTTTCGAAGCTGTTGCCACAAGCCGCAAGGGACGTACCCCGAGTCGCTTACCGATCCTTCAAGGCTCTTGGTTGTTTTGTGGGTCTTGAATCGAATCCTGCAGCTCCGCGCCGAAGTGACAGGTACATCATTGAGGTCCTCAAAATGACTGCTTCAGAGGTGCAGGTTGCACCCATGTCTGTGCCTCAATCGACTAAGGCATCGGGACTGACGAAGTCTCTCTGCTCGAAACCTTCGCAACTCACGGCCACGCAGCTTCGAGTTACTCAAGCTTGATCCATCTGACCCGAAGTCTGGGAGCCCAGAACCCTGCGCACTTCGACACTTCCTGCGAGAGCGACAAGGTCTAAGCCACCAAGATGCCACTTAAGCCAGAACAAACAGACAACACGTGCAGCTAGAGAAGCACGTGTTCAGCAAATATCGCGACCAGCACAAGTTTTTGTTGTTTGTGACTCGATTGGAGACGCCCGAAAGTCGACTGCAGTTTGGGGAGTCATGCCCAAATCCACAGTGAAAGAGCCGGAGAATAGGACCAAACGACCACGCCGGCCTAGAATGGTCGGTAGTCAGTGATCCCGCTTTTTGATGGAGCAGCGCGAGTCCGACCTGGCAGTCGTCTGCCGCCTGGCGCATGAGCACCTGCTAGCGGATGGCCCGGCGGGCCGCAACGATGTGCTCAGGCCGAAGGGGCGGATCACTAGCAGTACAGTTCCTAGTCATGCCTGCCTGCTTGCTCTGCCATTTTCTGTCTGTTCAGGCGGCTGCCACGTGATTTTCGCAGCGGCGCCAATGAGATCGTGAAAGAGGCCCCGAGAGTTTCCTTTTGCACTTTTGCCTATGCGTTGAGTCGTTGTCGTGCCGTGCCTCTAGCTGCATCGTCCAGAAGTCTGCGTCAGGATATTCACACCAGCATCGAGGTCCCACCACTGCTGTCCTCAAGCGGTGCGGCAACTTGTTACGCAACAGCATGCAAAGTTCACAACATTTGGCAAAGCACAGCGATGTGCCGAGACCTTGTCCATCATCTTCCGAAAGTTGCCGCCTTACTGTGCTTGATGGTCTCCTCCTCAACGTTTTAGCGTGGCCGGCTGAGGTTGATCACGTACCAGACCCAACAAGGCCATCACCAGGCTCCAGGGCGCCTCAAGCGATTGACGAGCTTCAGCACGGGGGAAGCCAACAACTGCGACAACTTCCACGCGAAGAGAGTTGTCTGCGAGCTGCTGCACCTGGGAAGAAAGAGTGGGCCCAGGGCATTTTTTTGTTTTTTCTTGGCGCTGAGATTGTGCTTTTTCGCTGCTGCGTGGGCTGAGGAAAGCCTGGGCCTGTTGTAGCCAGGGCGCCGTCAGTGATGAGGGCGTAGATGCGCAGGAGGTGGATCCATACTTGAATTATCTACGACATGTGATGTACTACCATGACCGATGGTCTTCAAAGCTCTGGGGCTCTGACGCCTTCCTGGAGACTATTGTCCATGTCATCCGCAAGCTGGAGGCATTAAAACGAGACACATCCGACAAGAGACAGAAGTACTTGAAAGTTCTGGAGCAGATACACGACCATACCAGTGAGCTTGCAGAGCATGCCCTGAGAGTGACACTGCTCGCCAACACTGAGCATCACAGCGAGTTTGAGGCCTTGGTCGCCAAAGAGGGCGCGCTGACTCTGAAATCGCTAAGCCAAACTTTGGTGAGACACAGCACCAGCTTCTGGTGCACGGACTTCGGACAGGTGTTGTACTCTGCCTTGGTCCGAGCCGACCCACAGCGCTTCAAGCCAGTAGGTGTGGGAGATGTGGGGGCGGCTGCCCGGACTTGGAGTCTCTGGACAGACGAGTTGGGGACCATCAAGACATACGAGTATAGCTCTCCCGAGGAGGCGAGGCTCGTCCTGGAGCAGTGCCGCTGCTGCACCATCCTCGTGGGTCCGGAGGGCAAGATCCAGGAGAAAAGCTTCGCGTCCAGCACCAGCCAAGTGCTTTCCAAGGCTTCAAGCGGCAGTCAATACTTTCGTCAAGCGTCTTGCTGTGCACAGCGACAGGTCCTCCAGGAAGGCAGCACCATGCGAGAGCTCAATCGCAGCTCGGCTTGTGCAGCAGGAGCATGTTTGTCGAAGCTTAATCCGTCCAAGGCAGGGTAGACCAGAACATCGGTTTGCAGCAAGCCGCTTTGGGAATTGCGCCGCCGACACAGGCTCGTTTCAGAATGCTGCGTAAGCAGACTCAGAGCAAGCTGCAGCAGTGCAGCGACATGCTCACAGTTTTTCAGAAATAGTAGCTGTAGGACTTGATGTTGATGCGGGCCGCGGGCTCCATCCAGAATGGGTCACGGGCGAGGTTTGCACGCTAGCACGCAGAGACGCAGTGTTTCACCGTGTGGAGGTGACAGCCATAGAAGATTTTCTGGGTGACGGTGAAGCTTCAGCCGATGCAGAGGCAGAGAAGCCAGACTTCTGGTGTCTTGGCAGCGTACATCAAGCCTTACGGGAATCTCCATGCTGTGTCTCTTCACCCGGAAATTCTCCAAGCTCAGGTATGAAGCCGTGGAGAAGGCGGCGGGCCATGTGGGTTCAAAGCTGTTCAGCACACTGCCTTGCAGTCTTCTCACTACGACCTGCTACTGGAGGTGCGGGATGCATGGGTGCAAGGCAATGCCGATCAAGCAGGAATCGCGGAACCATTTCGTGGCTGCAAGAAGGCGCCGTGTGGTACCCATTTCAGTTACACATTCTAAGTGCCAGCGACATCCTAGGTCAAATGGATCGAGGGTGTGTTCGAAAAGGAATCCAGGTCCTCGAATTTTCCAACTATCATCCTCGAGTCTTGGCACATTCCCAGTTCCACATTCGAGAGTCCAGCAGGCTGACAGCCGCAGACTTTTCAGGATCTTCCCAAAACGCTGTCAGATCTCCTGTGCTGCTTCAAGCAGGCGGCCAACCGTGCCTTGCCGTGCTTGCCATGTCTGATTGCATACACTGCTTTGTGTCTGGATGCTTTGCAGGTGATGACCGCAGTGCGCTCCATGATCAGCGAAGGCGTGAGCTTGAATTCGTTGTATGCATGAGCGCATGCTGTCCACGTGGTATCATCATTCCTCTCCTCACACCATAGGCTTGTATCATCTGGGATCTGTGCAGCCCACTGCGTCGCAGGTGGCAGTAAGGAGGCACTGGCCGCTATTTATGCACTGCGACAGCGCAGCACCATCACCGGGCAGCTGGATGTGGCTTGGCCTTGTCCTCTTTCTCCTTGCACTTCATTCCTTACGCCTCTGGCCTTCTCTCTCTCCCTCTCTCACTGACTTTCTTGCTCTCTGATTCATCACAGCTGGACAGTGCCAAGAGGTACTCAGCAAGTACCCTCGTTCTGATAAGGCATGCATGCAGAAGTTCCTCACCAGCGCGAATCTTATGCACGGTTTCTTTGAGCACCTCTTCTTCGAAGGCTGCTTGGAGCGATTGGTTGCATTGCTCGACTGGGCCCTCACCACATACCCCCATTGTGCGATTTCACTATCAGCGGTTGTCGAGGTTTGGAGAACAACAAGAAGATCAAGGGTCAGAGTGTCGCACTGCCACGATTGATGTAAGGACCATGCACATTCACAATGACATCTCTTCCATGCCGTACACCTGTGCAGGCAGCAATGCAACGCTTGTACTTTGAGACTTGGCTCAACGCACAATGCCCATGTACTGCCTGTCTAGACCTGCATGATGGGCTTCAGTGCTCTGAATCGGCAGGAAAGCCACCGCGCGTGCAACAAGCTGCGAGACGAGATCCTGACGAAGTGGCACAAGCTTGGACTCGAGGCCATCATCAACCATCGGAGAAAGTCAAGAACCATCTTCCACACTGCGCGGTGCGCAAGGTCTCAGATGACAACCTCGCCGAGGAAGCAAAACGTAGCCTGGCCTGTCCTTATATTATGTACGCACGTGCATCTGCATACAGAATAATATCCCACTGAGTCTTAATGTTTGTTTGCGGAATCTCAAGCGCTGCCGGCCAGCCACAGCCGCTTAGGCATCGACATGACAGAGAAGGCGGCCTTCTGCCAACTCATGGGAGCCTTGACCACCGGTTATGTGGAACCACTGCACATCACAGGGCAGGCGACATTGGCCTTTGATGCAATGCCAGGGTGCATGATGCTAACTCAGGAATGCCCGCGCCTGCGCTGGCACTGACTGCAGGCCAGTTCTGAATGATGTCGTGGAAGCATGTTGTAGGCCGGCTCCCTTGAGAAGAGAACGGCGTTTGGCATGCCAGCATGCCTCGGCCATGTCAGACTATTATTCTGAAGGCTCTGCGGGACCGCTTCTTCAGCTTCCAGATTCCCCGAAAGAGGCCTTCTTTGAGCGTAATCATGAGTAATCTGTGCCGGGGCTTCGAGCAGTAGTCAAGAAGTATGCAGCAGGAGGCTTCGCCGACGAATGACGTCATGACTGCGAAGCCAGTCGCATTCTCTCCCTCTGCGCGCATTGAGGACAGGCCATGACAGATCTCTGAGCATTATCTTGGAGCAAACGGCAGATGATGCATGGGCTAGTCTTGAGGGCTCATGTTTGCGTGATGACAGGAGGCAGCTACTCTTGCCAAAGTGGAGGAAGCCAGTGAATCTGGAGATGACTTGTCAAATGTCTTCCGATGACGCCAACTGAACCCATTGTCCGACGATGGCGCAGCTCTCCTAAGAGCCGATGCAGAACGAGACCGGGCAGTCCCTTTGCCACTCGCTGCCCCAAGCTGGGCTACATGATGGAGACCTCGAGGAGATCAACGCCGAGGCGAAACCCCCCCGCAGCTGATGGAGTCTTGCTTCGTCTGCTCGTGTGGGCGGTTTTGCCTTCAGAACCCCAGACACGCCATCCCTCGTTGAAAAAGTGCGGCTGCAGCTGATATGGGACGACACAGGACGGCTCAGAGAGAGAGAGCGAGATCTGGGCGAGCCGTGCAAAGATAATCTAGGTGTGTTGTCTTTCGAGACCGGCACTGAGGCTAGCGGTGTTTTGCGTGGGAGTTCAGCTGACTGTCGATGCACGTCGCGAAGAACTACCAAGCCAAGGCCCCAGGAGCTCCAGGAGATGTAGCTTTAGTATAAGGTGCTATATAGTATCATTCAAATTTTACGTATCTTACTTTACTGTAGAAGAGCATGCATTGGCACTGTGCCAGTAAAGGAGTGGTCCTGAAAAGAGTGATGATCTACGTAACATGTGGCTTCCCCCTTTTTTGAGCAGCTCTTGGCACTCCGACACATCCTGAGCCCAACTCGGCTCCAAGACTCGCCACTTTGTCGCAGACGATGGCGGCGGATGGTCATGGCGGCCAGGTGCAGATCGGCAGCCTTACGCTGCAGCAGCCCCTCGGCATCGGGACGATGCAATGGGGCCGGACCTGGCTGGATGAGAAGCTAAATCGTGGCAATCTTGACGATCAGCTTTGTGCCAGCATCTGCCAGGAGTTTGCAGAAGTGCACGGGGTACAGTTCTTTGACACCGCTGAAGGCTATGGAGGTGGAACCAGCGAAGAGAGGCTCAGAGACGTCCTCGTTGAGCCCGCGAAAGATCAGAAGCAACCCTATCCCTGCATCATTGCGACCAAGTTCCTACCAACCCTGGCCCGTTGGACGCATGGAAGCTTCGCGCGAGCTCTGCAGGGATCCTGTAAGCGCTTGGGCGTAGATGCTATTGATATCTATTTCATCCACACTCCGATTCACCCTCTCCCCTTAGAGTATTGGGTGCATGCAGCTTGTCGAGAGGCGAAGGCCGGGAGGATCCGTGAAATCGGCATCTCCAACTGCAATGCACAGCAGGTCCGACGAGCCTGCGCTGAGGCTCAAAAGCATGGCTTAAGAATCGCAGCGAATCAGATCATGTTCAATCTTTTGTGTTTTCAATCTCCAGAGCTGCAGGAGACCCTGAGAGCTTGCCAGGAGAATCATGTGCAAATCATTGCATATGCGCCTATCGGCCAAGGCCTTCTGACACAAGCCCTTACGGACGAGAAGTTTTCAAGAATCCGTCTGGCCAAGATGACTAGGCTCGCCATGGATGAGTTGCATGACCTGCGAGGTGTCATCGAAGGACTGGCGAGCAAGTATGGCAAGTCCATGGCGCAGATTTGTCTGAACTGGACGATCTGCCACGGGGCAATTCCCCTGGTGGGTACCAGAAGCATGTTGCAGGCACAAGACACTGCTGGTTGCCTTGGATGGCGTTTAGCCGCAGAGGATGTGGAGGAGCTCGATCGACACGCGCTGAAGCGCAGCACGCTGTCCAAGCCAAGGTGGAAGCGCGTCCTTTTTGTCACCTTTATTACACTTCTGGTCTTCAGCTACCGGGTTAATCGCTGGGCCGACTGGCTAAGATCAAAGTGGCACTCCCTGTGGTCCTGGCGAGGGCATCGAGCAGATTGAGCCCCCTACCAGAGTGCAGGGGGCCGTTCCGTTTAGATTTTGTACAGTCTCAGTCCCTGCTTGAACAGAACCCCCCAGCGACTTCGCATGTTCCATCCGCTGGACGGTCCAGCACGCACAGCTCATGTTTCAAAGGCAGCCGTGTTTGCAGTCGTGATTGAAGTGAAGCTGTTCGATCGTTTGACTCTTGAAAGCATCTGTCTAATTGACGCTGTACACTGAGGTACCGTTGAAACGTCAATGTACATTTGCTGCCTTTCCCTTTTCGTGCAGGCCGGGGTTGTGTGTAATTGGCTTTCTGCCTGCAGTGCTTGCTACAACAACGAAAACAAGTACTACTGCAGACGGCTGCTGTTGCTGTTTGCTGCCCATTTGCCCTGCCTTGTGCTGAGAACTGTCGTATCCTGTAGCGGCCTCATGCAGGCAGCTGTTGCAACAGCGACTCCCTTCATTACAAGAGCAGAGCTCAAGGTGCTCCATTCATGATTCCACTGCTTACAGAGAGTTCGGTTTGCCTGAGTCGACCAGGTCGTGCCAGGAACCGTGGACATAGTTGACTTCGCAACCGGTCATCCTCGGCTGTGGCTTGGTTCTATTACGGCATGGCTGTGCGCGCGCGCGTGTGTGTGTGTGTGTGCACGGGTGCGTGCATGCGTGCCTGCGTACGTCCGAAGCTCGAGATCTGGCAATCCGTGCAGTCTTTAGTGAGGTACGTCTTCATGAGCTCGCTGCGCTGGGTTAGCACAGCAGCCCTGTGCGCCACGGGATCCGGAAGACCGCAAAGTCATCGTGTTGGCATGTCCACCTCAGACACAGGGTGCGTGACTTGGACCAGTGAGGTACTTGGGAATCTGTGTAATTTGCGCCCATCTTTGGCGCCAGCAGCCCAGCATCATGTTGCGGTTTCACGGAAGACGGCGGACTCTTTTCAGAAGCCCCGTAGGTCAGACAGACGAGCCCGTGTGGGTAATTTTGGCAGTTGCCTCGAGCTCTCGGCAAAGTTCTGCCGAGAGCAGCCGTGGTTGCTTCAGGTGATGCATCTCGGGACCTACTTCTTCATCGTCGGATACACAGAGGGGTACTGCATGGTGCTGCCGTCCACTGCCTGCCGTATTTGTTGCAAGTGGAGTTCCAGTTGGTTGAGTTGAGGTCCATTTCTGCCTGTTCCTCTGCGTGTCCATTAGGCTTGATCTTGTCATGCAGAGTCAGCAGACATGTTTTAATTTGTTGTGACGGGGTTTGAAGGCAGCTGTCGAACGTCAGCATGATGGACGGCATCAGGAGCCTGCAATGCGACACGTAGCTCCGAGTGAATGACCTGCACATTGTTGGGGCTGGTAGGACGCTGACAACTGCCAAGGACGTGCTGCTTGAGTTATCTACACGCAGTTGCAGCCGTTGCTTTTGCGAAAGGACACTGTCAGCATTTGTCCGATGCTTTCCGTCCTCTTTATTGAGTGCTGGGCTCCGTGCTCAGAAGCAGGAGCTCTTTGAACTTGGTATCCTTGGCCGGGTTTCCCAGGTCGCTGCAAACGACATCAGAACTCCAGTAGGTTTGTCAGGGCCTTGGATGTTCAAGATGTTGACGATGTCTACCACGAGCATAAACGTGCCACGCCTGGCAGCAGCCAGTCGTTTGCCATTGCGCAGGCCTGGCGTTCCCCAAGGCTTCGCACAGGACAGACATTCTGGCAGCAACATCTGCGAACTGACTGTCCTAACCCCGAATAGGCCGGTAGTAACTTAGTAGCCCCCATGCGCTTGCGCAGGGTCCACTGTACGGCCAGGACTACATGTTTGTGGCGACCTGGGCGATGCTGATGCAGCTGGTCGTGGCGCGCACTGCTTTGCTCTTGCTCTTCATCTGCTCTCTGAGTCAGAGCTGTCAGAGCTGTGCTTGTCGTGGGCCTCTTTTTTGGTGCAGTGCTTCGTGAATGGCTTCGTCTACACCCTGCCGAAGGACTCAAAGGTGATCTTCTGTGCCTTGCCCTGCTCTGCTCTCTGTATGTTCCGATGTAGTTGAACGAGAGGTGATGAGACTCTGTGGCAATTCATTGCGGGGAGGCACCGGGTCTGGATTTTTGACCAACCTTGATGGCAGACTGGGAAGGGCAGGCCACGTCTTGATAGCAAACGCTGCAAAGCATGCAGCATACCATCACAGCACATTTCAGTACATTTCACAATGTCTTGGCTTTCTTATTCTTCAATATGCATGAAGACTCAAAGAATTGAGCTTGTCGTTTCTATTGACAGCTTGACCAGGCCTCACTGCCATATCGATCGTGTTCTACCTCACGCTGGTTGGTGCCTGAGAATGAGCTGCCTGTAAGTGTTTCGACGAAGCTGGGTGCCAAAGGTCACGGTCTACGCTTCCATTCTGGTGGTGGGGCTCTCAGAGTCAACATTCCGAGATCCTAGGAAGCCGCCGACGAGAGGGAAGGGTGAAGTTGTTTACCGGGCTCCTCTCGAAGGTTTTGGTCTCTCGCTACACGAACACAGCGCGTGCTGCCACCGGCCTGAATCCCGGCCTGACTTTTGTACGAAGCTCTCGCTGTCCTGGGCTCGTAGCTGCGTGGGCTGTGCGTTCGGGCAAAAAAGACGTGACGTGCCCAGGGTGAATTAGCACGGTGATTTTTCAATCTCGAAGCCTCAACCATCGAGGTGCTGGTGCCTGGTTCGCATGAGGCAGGGAGCCGCAGTGAATCCATAGAGATGTTCACCATGAACCCTCACCGCATCGGAGTACCGGCGGGACAAAGTTGACTGCCTACCCATGCGGGCGTCGCGTCAAAACAAAGCCAAAGCGCTCCGTCAGGCAGCATCAGCAGGGCAAGAAGTCAGCGTCAGAGTGACGCAGAGTACGAACAGCTTGTTGGCTCAAAGACGCTGCAACAAAAAGCCGCGAGGGGCATACCCTCAGGCCTGGGTTGTCTTTGCAGAACATAAACATAGAGCGACAGTCTGTGGTGAAAGCTACTGTGTCCGGCTGTGTCAGACGGCGGACATGCCGACCTTGCGGCGGAGGCAATCCTCGCCACTGTGTGTGGCAGTGCCCTGAGACTTGCGACCTTCTCCGTATCTTTCTGCCTGCAGCCCCTCTGAGGCAGTCCTGCTGTGCGTGGTGGCCGCATGCGACTTCGTTGGCCTCCGAGCTTCATGAGATGATTCTAGTGGCTTTCCGTTTCAAGTCTAGGACTACGAGCTGCACAGGTGTTTGGCCTCAACTTGCTCTTCACGGCTCCTGCCGCACAGGCCCATCGTCATGCGTTTGACTTCTCAAGGAAGCCGCTGCTTGCCGCCCTCGGTGTCAGGTTTCAGTCCGAAGGCAAGCAGCTACAGGCCACCGCCTTGACTTCGAGCCCAAATTTACTGCCACCGGCTGGAGAGAGCGAGAGACGACCCGAGGCCCATCACCTGTCAGTCTGCGGGCGCGAGAAGTTGATGAAGAGGACGCCTACCTGGTGAAGGTAAACTGGTAAATTATGGTGCTTTCTCACCTGCAAGCTTCCCTCCGCTTCATGACACTTGCAGAGGAAGTGCTGTTCAATTTCAACAAGAAGAAGAAGAAAGGCTACGACCCCAACTGGGAGGCCGCTGGATGATGCACTTTGATTGCCCTTCACATTCCATCATTGCTTAGGCATAAAATTCCGTGCTTCTAGAAAGCTCAGCTGACTTGCCAGCGACCCTTCCCACGGTACATCGTCGGTGGCGGCATCTTCTTGACCATCGTCGGCCAGACACTCGTCATCAGCGGAGGATTTCTCGCTGCCAGACCATGCACGCGAGCGCCTTGCATCAGGCTTTTTCGGTGGTGGGCCTCGATCTCAGCGAGCCTGCCGATACAAGTGCTATAACTTGCCTTGTCTTCAGGCCAACACTTGCTGCGGTCTGGGGCCTCTGCGGGGCGGGCTTCGGGTGTTCGCCTCATTGGCAGCTGCACGGAGTCCTCTTCCGTCCGCATCGCCTGCGCTTTGCAAGGTGCCTGCTCGAGCCTTGGCAGACTCCAGACGGTGAGATCAGCGGTCTCTACTTCGAGGAAGATGACGAATGAACGGTCTGGAGCTCGACAATGTCCTAATGAGCATGCGGCGTCATGTGGCACTCAACTCATGATGACTCGCGCCCCGCAGAGGCAAAAGGTGAACTGGGAGCGACAGTTCAACAAATTTGTCCAGCAGCCGAGAGCCGAGTTGTGGGACGTGGCATGCTCAAAAACACCTTTGAGAACTGTTTAATGGCACATGTGCAGACAGCAGGGCTAGTCTGATGGTCCCATTTTCGCTGAGCAACAGCCCTTGCACTGAGTTTACAGCCACGTGTGGCATGCATGTTACAAATTGCAAGAAGCAGAAAGAGCAGTTGCGGTGCTGTTCTGAGAGTAGAAGGGAAGGCTAAGCCCCCGAAGTAGAAACGAAACACTTATGCAAGTTTTCCTGCTTCGTAAAAGCAGGCGGAGGGTCGATCGTCGAGCTCTGCAAGTGAAGTCAGCCTTCTTCTCAAGTGTTTCTCCTGGGTAATCTTGGAGCCATCGGCTCAAGCAAGTGGCTGCGGATCGGATCATTGAGCGTTTACTGTTCCTGCAACATGAGCTAGCAGCAAGAAGAAGGAGCAACCAGGACTACCTCACTAAGTCTGGCCTTGTGCGGCTGCCTCCATGCTTGAGGCGAGGGGAAGCCTGCATGCATGAAAGAAACATGTGGCATGCCATGTTTCGTAGCCAGCACGCTTAGGAAGTTGCTTTGCCTTTCATGAGCTGCAGAGCGAATCTCCATCACGCATGTTCATCCAGGAAGCCGTCTCCACACTTTACCGGGATGTGTGGCCTTCTCAGAGCGGTCTCAGACCGCAAAACGAGAGAGGAGTATTTCATTGTCTATCCTGGTTGTCTTGATGGTGAAACAGCCCTAGGCGGCCTTTCCACGACATACTGCCTGTGACACATGCACTGCGATTCGAGAAGTACCCGAGTGACATGAACCTGTGCTCCTAGCTGCTGCTGCTACCGCTGCTGCTACTTGCTGTTTCTGATTCAGATCCTGTTGCTCTTCTGCTCCGTCCCTCCTCCTCCTCCTCCTCCTACTCCTACTACTACTACTACTACTACTACTACTACTACTGAAACTACTACCACCACCAGACGACTCCACTACAGCTACTGCTTGGCCAGCCTCTGTAGCCAAGGCAAGGCCCGGAGCAGCACCTCTCGGTGCCCCAAGGCATAGCGAGAGCCTCGGGGCTTTCAAGCGCTGCCCGAGCCTTCCGAAGGGACTGTGAAGGCTTCTGTAAGGTTTGGGATGGCTTGGGGTTTGGGTCATCTTGGGTCTTGAGCTTTGCCCCATCTGCCTTTTTGAGGCTTGGACTTTCAGCGGCAGCCTGGCAGAGGGAGGCTCAGAGCTCCTCCTGCTTGGCTGCTTCAAGCCTTTCTATTGTATTCGCATCGCGCATGACAGCAGCTCAGACTGAGGCTTACTTTTTTCTCAGTGCTGCCCAAGCTCTACAATCGTTTGTGGAGGCTTGGAGAGGTCGGGGGAGGCTCCGGCTGCAGAGTTTTTGCCACAAAGGCCAAGGCCCTGGCCAACGACAGCGCCGAGGTCGGGGCTCAGCCTTGGCAGCTGATCCGATTGTGTTCAGCCACCGCACAGAACGAACGACTCATTCGGCAGACAAGCCCAAGCCGCACTCTTGGAAGCGAGCCAAAACTCGCCTTCCGCAGCTCCGATTGAGTTTCAAATTTGGCTTTCCGTCTTTCCGTTCGTGAGGCTGCTGACAGTCCGAAGAGGAGCTGCAGAACAGCATGCCAACCTCGGGTTTCCGTGTGGTTGCTTCTGCCTTCTGTGCACAGTCATGGTGTGTTGGCGATGCCCTGTGATCACGCGTGATGCCAGATGTCCAGGAGGCTCCCGCTGCGGCAACGCCTGCTGGTTTGCTGGTCGCAGCCTTTCCCCTTGTGTCGCTTTGCATCGGCTGTTCGCAATCTGGTAGAAAGCTGGAAGCAGTTCATGCCTCCGATGCCGACCGATTATGCTCAGCCGGTCGCAAAGTTTGGGCTCCCAGATTGACGGCGAAGCCACTTGCCGCTGCAAGTCTTTCTTGCGAAGCCCGGTCTGCAAGCCAGAAAATGCTGAGATGGATGCAGACCTTGTCGCATGTTCGGCTATGAATATCGAGCGTGGAGGAGTCTTCGTCTAGCCTGCTTGTCGCTTGATGACAGAGTTGCCAGCATCTGCCGAGGAGATGGCTCCTCGCAAAGCGTTGGCTCTGGCCTTGCCTGCCGCAGCCCTTGCAGCCGCGCCTTTGTTCGTCACTCCGGGTGGGGCCTTCAGAAGCCTTCAGCATGGTGCATGTCACCTGAAGGGCAAACAACACAACAAAGCACGGGTGTTTTTTCCGAAGAGACCGAGGCAGCGTGCCTCGTGCATCACAGCTGCTCGCACGCATGAAGAAGCAATGAAAGTCCAGCTGACCCAGCTGACATGCCTGCATCTCCAGGCCTGCGCGCGGACAGGCGGTTCAGGATGCGTTGCTTTTGGCTTGGATGAAATCAGATCGTCAGCAACGATGGAATCGTTTTCTGACGGTTGAACATGCGCACACCAGGACACTGCTCGCTCCAGCTCGATCTCTGCATTCACTGCAGCTGGCTCTGCGGCGGCAGTCGCCGTGGTCCCTCGGATTGGAACTGACGAAGGAGCTAAGGCAAAACGGCTCAAATGCGCAGGTCAAGCCGTTGAGGTCTCAACCTTCGGTGCAAGCCTGGGAATCTTCTGGACTCTGTGCAGGTTGCTGCTTCCGCACGCAGCAAGAACACGAAGGTGGTCAGGCCTGGCTCAATCACATGTTGTTGGTGTTGGTGTTGGTGGTGGTGGTTGTTGTTGCTATCGGTGGTGTTGGTGGTGGTGCTGTTGCACCAGTCATGAATCTTGAGTGCCTGCACTGTCATGTTTGCCATCATCATGACCATAATGACTGTCACTCGTGGTTTTTGTTGCCTTTGCGGCAGCGCCACTGGTCACTAGGGTGCATATCATCATGGTTGCCAGGAACATTGTTCTTTTGGTTGCCATGAGTCGGACCTTTGTATTTTGATTGCCATTTACCATTATGATTCCCGATTGCTGTCAGCATCGTTTCTTAGGATCCTGAAGCATATGGGCACGTGCACACGGTAATCAAGAGCTTGGCAAAGACACCTCGCTCAAGGCAATTCTTTGGTGGCGAATCGACGTCAGCAGCATCCTTTGATCCGGCGAAAGAGCTTGGTGTCCAAGATCCGGTGGGCTTCTGGGACCCACTCGGATTGAGTGCGGACAAGGATGAGGCTACCTTCAAGCGCCGTCGCGCTGTCGAGATCAAGCATGGCCGCATTGCCACGAGCCTGAACTTCCACGCTCTGTTTATGTTGCCGAGACACGGTCTCTGGTGTGGGTGTGTGTGTGTGTGGGGAAAGCGTCTAGGGTTTGGGCGTGGAGCGCAATAATTGACGACTACAAGTACTACTGCTACGACCGCTACTGCGACCATTACTGCTACTAGCACTACTGCCACTACTATGGTGACTACTGCGACGACTGTTGCCACGACGATGAGGGCTACTACTGCCATTACGGATGCTGCATGTGGCTGCAGTGTTGGGGTTTGTGTGACCATTTACATAATAATACTTGTACATGGATTTGGCACAGTGTTGCTGAACAGGCAAGGTTAGCAAGTGATAAAAAGCAACCTGCGTAAACTGTAGGGAGCTTTTGGAAACTAGAAATCTGGACATGAGACATGCTGTCGCAACGGACTGCTAAACAAAGGCAGAGGCATGCATCGTCGCATGCCAATGGTGACAACAGGTTGGACACATGGATAACCGCCTGGAGGTCTGAAATAGAACTGCGCAAGTCCGTGTCTGTGCTATTTGCGAATTTATCCCGCTGGGTTGGGCAAACGCTTCGAAGCTGCATCCACCACGGTACACGACTTTGCGTAGAACAAATTGATGAGTCCGTCCTCGCTGCTGTCGGCATCTGTCGACGGTCGTGGTAATCTTTTCTGTGCACGGGAACCACAGTAAGGCCCTTTTCTCCAGGCAGTCTTCAAGGAAACATGTTGTGTGTTGGACAGCACGGCATTTGTACCGTAGTACAGGCTCCAAGTCTACAAGGAAATGTTGGCGCATTTTTCCCATATATATCATCGCCCCTGGGGTATAATGTATCGTCGACCCCGCCGCAGGGGGACTTGCTGATGCTATCATTGTTTTGTTGCCAAAATACGCCACGAGCCCCTGACGCCTCTGTGTTAAGTGATTCGGGGGGGCACACAAATCTATACACTGTCATATATCCTTCGTACCTGCCCGCATTGTACATATATATATATATATATATTTATATTATACTTATAATTATATATTCAATGTTGGAAAGAAGGCAGGCACGGGCGTATTTGCTTCAATTTGTGTGTGGGGACATCGTTACATCTCAGCCGTTTCCACAGGGATGTTTCATGCTGAGAGGCATTTTCGATGTCAGCAACATGCAAAAGGACTCTTCTCAGTCTATCTCAGTCTGCACGTTGAGCTGGCAAATTCGAGGCGATGTATGCTACGATGGGGTATATTGTGCCTGAATATTTCAAATTCCCTGGTTACCTCTCGCCATCTTTGGGTTTGAAGTTCAGCGACGTCCCAAATGGCCTGGCTGCGCTGTCGAAGCTCCCATCTCAGATCGCGGTGTTCGCTTGGGTACTAGTTGCAAAGATGCTTCTTGAACGAGCTGCGACTTTTGTGAAGAAAGAACAGACTGCAACGTGTAAGGCTGCCAGTTCTTGGCGGTGCTCAAATCATTGCTTTCTGTGGGCTGATTGAGACCACTGGCTTCTTCCAAGCAGACTCCACCACTGGCGGACGAGGGCCCCGTGAGGGCAAGTTTTCCATGAAGGATTCCACAGAAAGTGGCGAACCCGGAAACTATGGCGTCGGTTTCCCTACCTTCATCGGGAAGGTAGAAGACCCAGAAGCTCGCAAATCCAAGCTTGCAGCAGAGCTTGCAAACGGAAGAC